CTCCTTACTTGGTGACTGCCACTCGGCGTCTCCACCATGTTAGTTCGGATTTAACGGAGTTGACCTCTGGTAAGGCCGACCGGGATGAATTAAGGGAGAAATTGTTGGGGATGGAGGAGGAGAAGCGTAAATTCGAGGAACGTTATGACCTCTTAGCCGGAGAGAAGACATCCATGGAGGAGCAGGTGGTGAACTTGGACGGGTCGGTAGAGTGTCTTTCCCGGCGAGTTGAAGTCTTGGTGGAGGAAAAGAAAGTGTTGGAGGGCCGAGTGGAGGAACAACGTGGGCAGCTGGAGGCGGAAGAGTTGAGGAGGAAGGTCGCTGAGGAGGATGTGATGAAGAACACTGTAAAATTTACCTTTTGAAAAACCAACTGTAACCCACTGCAGTGGGTTTTACCTTGTATCAAACCAAAGCACAAAATTAAAATGAAGAACAGTGGGTTTTACCTTGTATCAAACCAAAGCACAAAATTAAAATGAAGAACACTGTAAAATTTTAGCTTGAAGAAAGAAAAGGACCACCAGAGTAAAACGAACTTATAATAGCAATTCCAATAACTTTCTTGTTAGACTGCCTCATCGTTTTTTAAGCACCAACTCTCACGTAATCTTCGTAAAAGAGAAAACTGGGACCAAATACATCAAGAACAATCAAAACCGGAACAAAAAAAAATTGTAATTTCATTGATGCTCCCAAAATAAGACCATGATAAACCAAAGAACAAATAGCAGAATACAAACCTTCAGATGAAGCAGGTTGCAATAAGCTTGCTGATAACCGTTAATTACAATCTTAAATGAAGATGGATGCATGAAGTTGTCAATTTTGGAGCTTTGGGCCGCAACAAACCAAACGCAGGTGCTATCGAGAGAGAAAGAAGGAGATGGTGTTTAGATGTCGTAAAGACGAAAGGCAGTGTAACCTGGATGTAAGCATCCGATTGGAAGAGGAAGGTGGCAAGACGCAAACCTGAACAAGATGTACCAAACTGAGGGGTTGAATCTGTCCAGCTCCAAAATGAAGCCTCTTAGGGTTGAAGTTCGGAGACCATCTAAACAATAGAAATAGGGAGTTCTCTATCATATTAGAGTCTCAAGACCAAGCACGAACGAGATCCTCTTGGGAAGCAAAATATATCATAACATGCCTTGGATATGGAAGCCTTACTGTTGTTGGGCTCTGGCTCCGCGCACCTCCAGACACCTTTCAAAGCACTTTCTAGTGTGTGATTTAGTTTTCGAATGTCTCGTTCAGCGTCACGAGTCTACAGGCCTTTCTTATTTAAGTGTTCGCTCTTTGAATCTTCAGGAGGCTCGTCCCTAAGTAACGATCGACTCAGGATGACGAATCACTTCGTGTTGACCTGTTGCCAATACACTTTCCAGCCTCATATGAGAATGGAAAATTGGAGCATTTTCTGCATCAATGGATGAAGAATCGCAAACATAAGAATTTCTGGTTGACCGTGTTCCCAGAAAAAAGATGCTTTCAAGAAACAACGAACACGAGTGAAGTGGCTATACATATAAATCCATTCACGGATCTATTTGCTCCGATTGGAACTTTCAGTCTCATACTACCATAATGAAACTGCCTTTTATTTTATTTTTATTCAGATTGGATTTCCGGTGGCTTCGTTGGGAGGATCGCATAGTTTGTTATGTCAACAAGCACAACTCATTAGCATGATCCTAAGAAAGCTACATGTGATTTTGATTTGGCACCATTAAACCAAGAAGCCAAAAGATGGTGAAGAGAGGAGCTTTATAAAAGTAATCCACACTGAGAGTGGGAGAGAAATGAGACCCTATTATCCTAGCAATATCACTTTGAGAGAGGTGATCCACTCTTTCTATGCAATATGCAAGGAGAGGAACGACAAACACATTTGGAGGCAAAATTCATTCCAAACCCGAGAAAACTGCTATCAACAACAATGTCATTAGATCTCTACTCTAGACAACTATACATGCAACAACGAGCATGGGTTGACCCGAGGCTTAACTTTAATTACTTCTTTCACGACGAGAGAACCGCGTCCGCATCAGTCGAAGTGGTGGAAGGCCCCTGACTCAAAGGGCCCGTGGTACTCAAACTCTATTTGTGATAGCTCCTTCGTATTGGCTATTTTTTAAGGTAAGGTCAGATCTTTGCATTCTCAATAAAAATGCCTATATGTAAAGCTAAAGCATTGAGTTGAGTTGAAGAGGGAACAAGTCCCAGAGAGAGATGAGAAGTGAGGGAAAGAGGGAAATAACAATCTCTTCCGGAATGGAAGACCTCCCGTTCAAAAAGTTACTGTTCATAAGTCGGGCGGGATTTAAAGTATAGCATAATTAGTTTTTCATTCGTCTACCCTGATTATTATCTTCCTGAAGTTTTATGACTTGACTATTTGTGAAAACCCTCGGATCTCCATCGTCCCACCACCATCATCGCCTTTGATCGTCGTTTCTCAGCCGCATACAAACCATCATCTTCTCGATTCTCCAACGTCCCACCAGCATTGTTGTCTTCCATTGTCGTTTATCAGATAGTGGTGTTTGAGCAGTAAGGAAGAAAGAAAGAAGAGATGGGAGAGAGAAAGGTACAAAAATACTACTATCCGCCATATTTTAATCCGACGAAAATTCCAAGAAGAAGAATGCCGAAGAATAAACAAAAAGAAAAGGTACGTGATATGCTTCCTATGCTTCCAATGAGCATCCGCTGCAAAACATGTGGAACATTAAATTCAACTCACGTAAAGAAGAGAATGTTGACGAGAATTATCTAGGGATTAAAATATACCGTTTTTATTTTAAGTGTACACAATGTTTAGCCGAGATAACCAAAACAACAGACCCTCAAAACTCAGATTATGCTTTGGAGTTAGGGGTTGTGAGAAATTTTGAGCCCTGGTATACAGAAAAAGAGGTTGAAGAGAAGGGAGATTCAATGAAAATGATGGAGAATATAATGTGATTCAAAATAAGTATGGACATTCTTTCTACACTCCAAGAACTCAAGTCCGTGAAGTCAAGACATGAAATTGTAAGGGTTGATGCGATGCTTCAAGTCATAGAAGCATGAAGAAGAGGACAGAGCACATATAAAATCAAACTTCCAAGTTAGTTGTATGCAAAATAGGAAGATTTCTCAAGAAGTTCCGATGATGAAAACCAGCAAGTCGAATAATGGAGAAGGTGGCAATTTTTTTTTGTTCCCAACATGAAGTTCTCTGTTAAGAAGAAGCCATCTAAGTCCAGAAATGGAGTACAATTGTTATGTCAACAATATGACAATGAAGATGAGGAGTAATCAGATCTTATTGTATTTGATGATTCTAATATCCTGTTTGTGGAATGTTCTGTTGATTTTTGTAGTATGATAATCAAAACTTCAAACTGAGATTACAAATCATTGAAACTGGTTTCTGTTTTCTGATGTGGATTCTTTTTTATGCACATTTTGTTTGATTGATGTTTGAAGACTTTGTCAAAGTCAAACGGCCATTAGAGTTAAAGAATGTCCTAAAAGGGTCGACTGCCATTTGGCTCAAGCTTCTGTTATTCAAACTTCAAATTAAGAAATATAATTAATTGATATTTTCTATTTTTGAGGTTCCCTCTTGTGGTTTGTTTTTCTTCCATGGATGTTTGACTAACCGGTTGACCCGTTTTGCATGTTAGCTTCTTTGGCAACTTACACTTGCAGAGGCAAAGGGATTATCAGAGGGTAATAAATCATTTGGTATTTAGTATTTACCAATACATGAAAGAAACATGCAGCCAACTTTGATTATATTTTAGGTTAAATACAAGAAACAGTAACACAGTTTCATTGATTTGTCTAATATAGTATCCAACCTTGGTTTCTTCCTATTATAGGCTTATAGCATCGTATTTGAAAAATCTATCCAGTTTTAGCAATGTCATCCAATTACAAAGCCGTTTTCACTACTGTAATTGGGTAGAATTAGTTTAATCGATGTTTAAAGACTTTATCAAACTCAAATATCCATTAACTGGAGTTAAAGAATGCCCTTACATTAATTAAAGTCTCGACTACCATTTGGTTGCTGTTCCAACCAAGAAATATATAATTAATTAATTTTTGCTACTTTGGACATGCAAGAGCTTCTTCAACAAATGACACTTGGACATGGCCAAATAGAGTTGGGTAATCATTATCAAAATGTAAACATGTCATACTCATAACTACGTACAAGAAAAAGAAGAAGCCACACTGAAATAAAGCAAGTTATAACCAACCAAAATGTAAAAACTCAAAAGCATTAAACAATACCTTCTAATTAATAGCGCCTGCAAAAAATATATAACTTTTTAATATAATTCCTCAAAAGAATCATTGACCATCTCCCACATACCACTTATGTTTTAAACAGAAACCAAGAAAAAGACTGACCAACTTCTGCATGTCAGTAAGTAACATCTTTCTTCCATGGCAGAATTTTCCGGCGAGATAGACCACCGCAGCTCCACCTCCACCCACCGACCTCACCACCCAACTCCATCCCGCTCCCACCAGTATCTTTCTCTCTCATTCTACAGCCCTCACACATACTCATTCCCATCTTCACAAAGAACCCAACATAATAACCACCATGTACCTCCCACCACCCCTTTTGCCTCCGACAATGACCGGTCATGGCAAGCAGAGATCTCATGGTAGTTTGAGCCCACAGACAACCGTAGCACCGCCGCCCTTGGGGCAGCTCTAAGCCCATGGACCGGGCCCACACCCTCACACTCACCCTCCCCAGCTCCTACACCTGGCAACCGTGTATTCCGCCAGTCAGCTAACGAATTTTATCTTTCTCGTACTTCTAATAGTTATGATTTTAACTTTCGTAACTTTACAAATCCACATTATGAATATTCCAGTGTGTTGTCTCCTACTCCTGGTAGAATCGAACTCCAAAGCTTTTTCGGCAATCATCAGCCACATAGCACTTCCTTCAATGTTGGTTACACTAAGTCGCCTACTTTTGCAAAATGGGAAATCGTACTCCTAGAAAAAGTAATGCTGAATCTTTTATGAGTGATTATGATGATGTTGATATTGAAAATGAAACAGGAAACAAACAAGATCCTCGATGGTTCTCTATTTCACGTGCTTATGTTGACCATGATCATATGGGGGGATATGATTATGATGGGAAAAATAGTCCTTATGGGATTTCCTTTAGGAGCCATGATTATAATAGTAATCTTAGTCAGTATCTTCAAAGTTATGTGGAGGAGGGGTACGAGGCTGATGAGGATGAAGTTGTAGCACCAAAAAGCATCGGGGTTTTTGGGTTGTTTAAGTATTTGACAAAATTTGATATGTTTCTTGTAGTAATAGGGTGTTTGGGTGCTTTGATAAACGAAGGGTCTTTACCATGGTACTCTTATCTTTTTGGAAATTTTGTCAATAAAATTGCATTAGATAACGACAAGGACCAAATGATAAAAGATGTCAGAAAGGTAATTTATTTATTTTTTACTCTTATTGAGTTATTTCTACATCTTCATCTAATTTTTTTTTGGCGTATAAACATCAGGTATGTGTGCTAATGGCGGGGTTAGCAGGAATAGTGGTGTTTGGAGCCTATTTACATAAGTTTCTTTGTGTCATAGGATCTTTTTATCAAGTATAATTATTTAACAATATGATTCTTATAATTTGATAGAAATTGGTTGTTGGCGATTGGTGGGAGAAAGATCAGCTCATAGAATAAGAACCAAATACCTAAGAGCAGTTTTGAGACAGGATGTTAGCTTCTTTGACACAGACATTAATACTAGTGACATCATGCATGGAATCTCAAGTGATGTTGCTCAAATCCAAGAAGTTATGGGGGACAAGGTATAATCTTTTTAAGAAAAAACATGATCTATGTTGACTAATTTTGTGTTCTAGTTGGTGTTTGACTTGGTGAAATTTGTGAAATGTTGCAGATGGCACACTTCATTTATCACATATTTACCTTCATATGTGGCTACACAGTTGGATTCTTAAAATCTTGGAAGGTTTCTTTAGCAGTTCTTGCTGTGACTCCATTAACAATGTTCTGTGGCGTTGCCTATAAAGCAGTCTATGTCGGCCTTGCTACAAAAGAAGTGGTAAGAATTAAATAAAACCATAAAAAACACTCTTGACATATTTATTTATATTCATCTAATTTTTGATGTTTTATTTACAGAATTCTTACAAAAAAGCCGGAAGCATAGCAGAACAAGCCATAAGTTCAATCAAAACTGTGTTTTGTTTTGTAGCAGAAGAGAATTTATCAGCAAGATATGATGCAGTATTGGATGAATCAGTTCCGGTAGGAAAAAAACTGGGTTTTGCAAAGGGTATAGGAATTGGTGTGATATATTTAGTTACTTATTCAACATGGGCATTAGCTTTCTGGTATGGATCTATTTTGGTCTCAAGAAACGAGTTATCAGGTGGTGCAGCCATGCTTGCTTCTTTGGTGTCAATGTTGGTGGCAGGTAACTAACTAACTAACCAACTAATTAACTAACTATATAAACATATTCACACATAACTTGTGTGGGATGCAGGGGATTGTCGTTATCTTTATCATATTTGGCTCAATTTGCACAAGGGACAGTAGCAGCTAGTAGAGTGTTTGAAGTTATAGATAGAATCCCAGCCATTGATCCTTATAGTACCTTAGGAAGAAAGCTTGATAATGTTCGTGGAAAAGTAGAGCTTTGATATGAATCGTCCTGGGAGATGGTCTAAGGTGTATCACAGAAGAGGGAAGAAAGTTGCAAGGGGTGTTTAGTCAATTTCAGTTTTATGTTTTTAATTCCTATCGACGGCTGGAGGAGGAGAAGAGAGTTTTTTCTTTGTTTTTTTGTTTTTCGTGTGGAGACTCCTGAATCTCGAACGCAGGCCTTTTGGGTTTCATGCAAGCATTAAGTTACTTTTGAATTTTACTTTGGTTTGTTCTTAATTCTTCCATCTTCTTATCAAATTGGTATCAGAGCGCTTTCCTGGAGTACTGTTCACGTCGTTTACTGTTCATCGAAACACTGTTCACGTCGTTTTACTGTTCACGTCCCTGCACGATGCCAAAACCCGACACCAGATCGGATACCGCTGCCCGGAATTTGAATCAAGATTCAGTCTTAGAAGAGAGTTCATCATGGGATCGGATAGAGAAGATGGAGGCAGAATTAGCAGAGATCAGGACCGAATCAGAAAGGCACCAAACCATAGCTAATGAGCGTTTATTCAATCGCTACCCATCACCACCGGCCGACCGATTATTCAATCGCTACCACCCCCGAACTTTTCGATGCCACCTCCAAATCACCAACGCCCAGAACAGGAGTATGGCCACAAACCCCTATCATCTACACACAACCGCCCTTGATCACGTCATCGCTTCAATTCGACGAACAAGGGTATCCGGTTCCTCCGCATAACATGCGTCCAGAATCCGGGTCAAGCAACACCAGATTCCGAGCATATACGGGGGAGGGCTGGGGAATCGAGGAACAGCCGGCTACACAACCCGTTCGAATGGGACCATACTTTGGGTCTAACCTAGGACATGGAAGGGGATGGGTCCTAAACATGGATTACAGATTGAGAAAACTCAAGATGCCGCTATTGGAAGGGGAAGATGTTTACGGGTGGGTTTACAAAGCGGAACGTTTCTTTGATATGCAAGGGTTGGCAACGTCGGGTGAGAGACTACGTGCAGCAGTCCTATGTTTGGAAGGGCCGGCACTGGCATGGTATAGATGGAGTGACACCCGGATGCCTTTCCGGTGTTGGGAAGATTTAAAGAATAGGTTGCTGGAACACTTCCAGACGTCACAGGAGGGTAGTTTGCAAGAACAATTTTTGGACATACGACAGATAGGATTGGCCCGTGAATACGTGGGGCGTTTTGAACAGATGGTTGCACAGCTCGAGGGCATCCAAGAGTCAATTTTGGAGGGGACTTTCATCAAAGGTTTGAAACCGGACTTGCGCAAGTCGGTTCGGATCTTGCAACCACATGGGTTGGGACAGGCGATGAAGATGGCACTTGTGGTGGATGAGAATCGAACTGGAACAATCACGGGGTCAGACAAAGGAAGTACAAAAGTCAATGTGAACTGCTCGCCAGGCACGGTTAAAACCACGGCAACAGGAGCATTGGCAACCCGCACCCCCTTCCGACGAATGACCGACACGGAATTCGCGGACAAGAAAGCCAAAGGGTTATGTTTTCGCTGCGACGGGAAGTTCGGTCCAGGTCATCGCTGTCCAGAGAAAACCCTTCAGGTGTTGTTGGTGGGCGATGAAAAAGGGGAAGAAGAGGAAGATGAAGAGACAGATACAGGAGAACACACACACTTAGACATGATGGCGGTATCCGCTAGTTCGGTCGCCGGATTGACCGCACCACACACTATGAAACTACGGGGTCCCATCGGACAGCGCGAGGTAGTGGTACTCATTGACAGTGGAGCAACTGTCACACCCCCAAACCAAGGATAGCGGAAACGTCCGGGGGTGGCGGACTTCATGTATAGGATCATAACAACGTGTATAACAGTGATCAAAGCAATACAACCAATCATAAATATAAAGGAAAAGAATTACAT